TTAGACCTACAGACAGGGGCCGATTGAAGAATAATACAGGACAAAAGAGTAAAGGAGACTAGCAGCCTCGACAAGTGCTACCAAGTGACTTTATTATTATGCACCCTTTTCTGGATATCCTAAATCCCCCCCCCTTATCAAAAGTGAAGAAGAAATTAATTAAAGGTATGAAGAGAAAGATGGTGTGGCCTTTTGTGTGATCGAAGTCTCCTTTCGTTGTATAGAGTTAGTTTGACCTTTACTTCGCAACTTGCTATGGCAACCTAGATTATTACTTAATTTGGGTTTATAAACGAAATAGGGTGAATACATTTAATATAACTGACTTACAGGTAGTTTAGAAACCCTACTTATAAAGGAAAAATAAGTAATGTAGTCGATTATCATAGCAAGTATAAGTGTGGTTCATCGACAACTTGACCAAGGAATGTGATATGGGAAAATGCCTCACCTTGCTTGAAAGACACATCTACCCTCTCACAAAAAGGCACTCATGACAATATGAAGGAGTGGTTAACGTGTCGAGATTACATGCTGCCCTGTCCTAGTTCGACTCCCGCTGGGGGGGGGGATAGTTGATAAGGCCTAGGCGAGGTAGAAACGGCAGTCCACGCCAGCCGGGATGAGAACACCTTTTGGGAAAGCAAGCCTATGCGAAAGTCAATGGAAGCGTCAGCCGTAATAATATCAATGTGGGAAATTTCAACTACCAGTCCTTCACTAATTTACACAAAATAGTGTGAATACATCTCACATAAAAGAAATCTCAGCATATTTTCACTGAGGCCACATAGGCCCGAACAACAGCCTGACGTTGCTTCGCGATGATCTAAACCCAGGGATCGCTTCACCGCAAACTTTCTTGTGAAATAAAAGTCAGCTCAACAGTTATATTTCTGCAAATCATTTGCTCGCCTTATATGCAATTATCTACATGTAGGTACACAAAATTTGGCGTTTGCTTCAAATATTTTTGGCTAAGATGAATTTATTTTTCGAATTAAGTATTGTTTTCGTAACTACAAGTAAATCAGTAATATAAGATGTATTCACCCAATTTCGCTTAAGGCGATGAAGGACTGGTAGAAGAATTTTCCGGCAATGAAATTAGTAGGGCTGACGTTTTTATTGAATTTTACATTGCCTTGCTTTCCCAAAAGTTGTTCTCATCCAGGCAGGAGTGGACTGCAATTTCGACCTAGCATCGGTCTTATCAACACCCTCAGCGGGAGTCGAACCGTGACAGTTCAGAATGGGAGATTGACACGGTAACCACTCAGCCACATTGCCACGAGTGCCATTGGGTCACAGGGCAAAATGTGAATTTCAAGGAAGGCTAGGCCTTTTGCCATATCATATTCTTTGGTAGGATTGTCGATGAAGCAAACGTATATTTGCCATAACAATCGATGACAATACTTTATTTTTCGAATTAATTATTGTTTTCGTGGCTACCAGTAAATCAGTAATATAAGAAACTGCAGTCCACCTCGGATGAGAACAACTTTTGAGAAAGCAAGGCTATGTGAAATTAAATGGAAACCCTCAGCTCAATTCATATAATTGTGGGAAAATTCTTATTATGCCAGTCCTTCATCGCCTTAAACGAAATTGGGTGAATACACCTTATATTAAGATGAATTTATACTTCCTAATATTTTACTTATCTTCATTCGGTGAAACGGACTACTCTTTTTCCTTGCTAATTTTAATATCGTTGATATGGCAATTGGACGAAGTTAGGCTGATTGTATAGAGCTCGAGAACTAGACACACTTCAGTTCAGTTGGAGCGATGGAAGGTTTGAGGATTGAGCTATCTACAGTGAAATGTATAGAAAGAATTTCATTCAGCCATGCCTCTCATGAGGTCTTCCATAATTCAAATTTCTTGTAGGGCGGAAGAGCCTCTCTGCAAATGTTGTCTATTGACAGGACTTCAATAACAAAGAGGAGCATAAGTTAAACCCATTTGAAGAGAAATGTCCTGCTTATAAGACACGTTATTATTGCATAATGTAACTTGATTATGGCTATAAATGTGGAGTGGTTCACCCCTTAGATATGAAGAGAAGCTGGGTTTCGAAGAATCCCTTAATAGATTGGTACTGGCGTAACCTTCATTTCGTTTGAGAAGGCGGATCGAAGGGATCGGTAGATTGACCTCACCGGATACCGCAAGAGGGTTTACTTGGACTTTCGTCCGTTGAACCGTACGAATAAAACTTCGGCTTACCATTCTGTGACCCCAATGACTCCGCATTGAGCTTTACTTTTTGATATGACGGACATCGTAAGAGCCAGAAACCATTATTCATGAAAAATACTAAACCAGGGTAAACTCACCTCATGTCTGCTCTATAACTCATGTGCTATTGAGGTGTATTGGAAAGTTATGAAGATGAAGTGTGTTTTAAGAGTATCCAAAATTCATAAGAATTTAGTCGCCCTACATCATTTAAACTCACGTAAGGCCTAATGGTGGAGTTTTTCCCACAATTATCAGAGTAGGCCTGAGTATGCAAAGATTTCTCATTCTTACTGGACGTCTGTCACATGCGAACCCTCGACAGCGTTGAGTGGCGACATTTCATCACTGCTGAGGATTGATCAGTTGATTGGTCAATTGATGAAGAAGAAGACTTTATATGCAATGCAAACCAGACAACTTCAAAGTCTTATTTAGATTGGGATTGCTGATCAGGTAAACATGTATTT